TCTGCATCCTTGAGTACCATTGATTCTCTAATGGATAGTGATTCATAAAACACATTCATGAACCAGAGCGCTCTAACTAATCCAAGTACCGAATCAACACTCAAGAGAATTATTTATCTACTTCTTTCTCAAGAAGGAATGGATTTCATCTCGTATAATAACATTCCCAGCTACCTATTTCATTATGTCTCCAAAATACAAGGAATAGGATTCAGGGTCTCAGAATCCGTACCGAGTAAATCAAAAGACATAAATCCATAAATAAGAGTTTGTTAAGAACTCAAGATTAAAATCATCTTATATATGACCATTGGTAGACTCAATTAGAATTTCTATTCTTAACGGAAATTATTAAAAATTCATATTGTGTATGTGTCCTTGTTCCACATAATCTTATTATGTGAAATACACTCATTCAATATCTCGCTATATTAACAGTGCGGATAACACCGTTTCATTCTAAATGGGAATGACATGTATTAATAATATTTTAATTAAAGATTCTGAACTTTAATTAAATTCATTATGAACAATGTTTTTGATTATTATCCTTAAATACTATCCTCTCGTATATAACACTTATATACTATGTTTAAGGTTACATAAACAATCACGGAATTTTCATTTGATATTCATAAAATATTCATTAATATATGCACATAAAATGATGAATAAACTCTTTTATTAATTAAATAATAAATATCCTATTACATCTCATGCTTTTAGGACACTATTCCCAACAAAAACTTGCTCAAATTTTCTCTAACTTTGTTGACTTAGAGACCGTTTAGTTCGCTGATTCGAGTTGATATATGACTTTATGTGAGAGCCTTTTACTGTAACAAAAAACTTAAATGTAACTGTTTCTGAGAGATTTTTACTGAAGCAAAACTTGAATTATAAACTCGAATCAGTAAAATGAACATAGCCTTAAATATCAGACACATTCGGTCGATACTCTGTACCATTATAGTGATCCCATATTTGTTTATTTTGCAAGGTTCTTAAAGTTATACAGGGCATTCTTATTACATTCATTATAAGTGTTCGTTTGATCCGAATAATAAGTTTGTCAACGTCCTTTTGATGTTGAATGAAATTTTGCACAACAGTACAAGCAGGGATGGCCAGTGATGCCCAAAAATAGAGCCATAAATTTTAGTGGAGCTAATAATTAAAATAAAATTTAATAAAAAAATAATCAATGCACGGTAATTATCCCTAATATATTTCGATGCTTTTAAAATACTGTATATTAATTTCATTATCAAGGTCATTCAAGATAGAGTTTATAGTTTTCATGTGCTTTGCATTTTTGGTGAAATTGATATATTTAATGGGTGCTATAAGATTAATTTGAGTGGAGATTAACTGCATAAAAATGAAATATAATACACACTTATATATATATATATATATTTTTAAATTATAAAATTTTAGTGGGGGCTTAAGCCCTCACTGGAGCCTTTTATGAGTGGTAGTGAGAGCTTAAGCCCCACTAAATTTGTTTTTTATTTGTAACTATATTGAAAAACTAAAAACGACTTTTTTTTTTCTAGAATATTGAAAAAAACGTCACTTTAAACTGAAGTGCAACTAACATCACAATGCACTTAACAAGATCTTCTCGCTCTCAATATTGGCTTGGATCTATAATTTATAACTAATATAACAATTAGTTCGACTCATTCAGAATAACTTCTTAATTAGAATCTCATAGTGAAAGGGAAAATCCTTTGATTGTGATTATAATGATAAGATCTCATTGAAGTAATTTTTAGGAAAATTTGGGTTGATTTGGAATTGCGACTGAACTCGATAAATTTGGCTGAGTTGTCTACATACCCTGTTGAGGGATCAAGCCAATTGTAGTTCGAATTTTAATTTAGAAGTTTTGGATAATTCCTCAAAGTATGACCTTGTAAGAAATTGAAAGAGTTTTTAAATTTGATTTATTTTGTTGAGAATTTCAGGATTTAATTTGATTTTGAAACTGCATCTAAATTTTAGGTTGCTCGCGTATCTAATAAGGAATCAAGTCAATCGTATTTCTGAAGTTTCAAGTTTGTCTTTGGAGAACTCCCCGTGTCTGACCCTATGAGGAATTGCAAGAACATATTTTAGAATTTGATTTCTTTTGAGTTTGAGATTTTAATTTTAATTGAGATATGGATTTGGATAATTCCTCAATGTATAACCTTATGAGGAATTCAATGACATTTTTAAAAAAAAAAAAAATTATTTAGAAATTCTTTTCTTTTACTTTGAAATTTGGATTTGAAAGTTGTATTTGGATAATAATTCTTTCATTTTTTTTTGGGGGAAGTTACATAGTGTTTGATAAAGAACGGTTCTGGATTTAGGATGAAAATAATGCTGAACAACAAATGCAAGTTGATTTTGATGGAGAAAATGAGGAAGGAAGGCAGCAACCTTTAGAGAATGCACAGTTGCAAGCTGATTTTGATGGAGAAAATGAAGAAGGAAGGCAACAACCTTTAGAGAACGCACAGCCCGTGCAAAACGAGCAACAAGCACCAGTTGAAGCAGAAGATGATCATCGACCTCGACGAGTTAGAAGAAGACCAGCTTGGATGACTGATTATGAGGTAACTGGGATTGATCAAACTGAAGGCCCACTTACACACTTTGCTCTATTTTCATATTGTGATCATGTAGCTTTTGAAGATGCCGTTAAAAAATCAAAGTGGCGGAAGGCGATGGATGCTGAAATCGCAGCCATTGAAATAAATAATACTTGGGAGTTGACAGAGCTTCCAAAAGGGCAAAAAACCATTAGCGTGAAGTGGGTGTACAAGATGAAGCTGAAGGAGAACGGTGAAGTCGATAAGTACAAGGCTCGCTTAGTAGCAAAATGCTACAAGCAAAAGTTTGGCATCGATTAAAAAGAAGTCTTTGCTCCAGTTGCTCGTCATGACACAATCAGATTGGTGATCGCATTGGCAGTACAAAACTCATGGCCTATCTTCCAGTTGGACGTGAAATCGGCATTCTTACATGGAGACTTGGAAGAACAGGTATTCATTGATCAACCTCCTGGTTATATTAA